AAGCATTATGTATGTCTTTACACTTAAGGAATGGATAATAAACAATCTTGGAGTAAAATATGGGGCAGGACCTGCTTTAAGTTGTACCAAGTCAATCAAATAGAAATTTGAAGAACCTTGTATTAAGATGAGAGGCTTTTATACTCGGCATTTTCTTCCAATGAAAAAATAAATCCAGTGTACCACCGTCTTGACAAGTCTTTAAATATATAAAGAATATAGTTCTTATATAACTTAACACAAAGTAAACAATATAGCAATTATCTCTTCCAAAGGTCAGCCAAATGCAGGGTTTTTTCTCTCTGACCCTAAAAGAACATATCAATCTTCTACCTCATAGAAGTTCTAAATTGTAATTTTGTTCTTAAGTATTTCAATTTTTTTTTTTTTACTTTCTGCTTGTTTCTACATTAACTTTTGTCATCCAGTGATGATGACTTCAAGCTGATCAAATAAGGATGTTTTCCGTTTTTTTGCCATTAACATCCTAAATTATCTTTTATTCTTCTGAAATCTAGGTAGACAGTTAATTCCTCGACCCTCTTAAACTGTGTCCCTAAATGGTAGATAGACCAAGATTGCTAATACCCTTGATTTTTAAATGGCAAATATATATTTACACAGATGCATGTAAAAAATGCTCTGACAGTAACTAGAAAATAGATATTTTTAAGATATTGCTTATGTTATAGGACAAGTAATTACTATAAAACTTGCAATAGTAACTTCTTGTCCTATAATCTCCCAAAAATATAATATATGTCAAAGTACAGGAAAGACTCTTCTGAAAAGCAAGAAGAATAGGGGGTCCTTGGTTTACATTTATCAATCTACATAATCTAAAAATAATGTATCCATAATCTTGAGCTATTAAGTGGACAGTTACTATAGAAACATTTTTCAAGATTTAAAAAATAAGAGTATCACTCCTTGGTATGGGACCCGTATACCTATCAAAGAGACCCCAATATATAAGGGAAAAGATACCCTTAACAAAGTTCACAATGCCATCACAGCCACCTAATTAAATATCTTAACTGCAGAATTAGTGTAATTTTTCCAAATACATTTTTATAAAACCCAAATAGCCATGAACCCAATGGCATGCCACTTTAGAGAACTTAGAAATTTGGGAAGTAGCTTTAATTATGTATTCCAATAAAAAGGCAAAATTTGGTTGAATTATTTAAGTCCAATTTATCTATTTGACATCACTGGCAAAATCCTTCCTAAAGGAGTTTGCTTTGTAAGCATTGTATTAAAGAATTCCATGTTTTCTGGAATGCCAGAGTAGCTTACAAATCAGAACAGAGATCCCATCAGCTCCTTGCAGCACATTCTGTGACTGCCCCAGTCAGGGCTGTCCATGGTCTGTCCTCTCTGACCACTCCTTGTAGATTTATTCCTTTAGAGAAAGTCACTGAAAATCTGAGGCTCATTATACAGTAGGGGTGTTAATAGCACTGTACTTGCCATTAACGTATCAAATCAGTGCTTCATAATAGGTGCTACCTTATCCTAACTGTTCTAAGCAGCCTCACCTCCTAGGGCCCAAGTAATCTAGTATTCATAAACATCTTCAGTGCCCTGTGGGAGCCTTCCAGTTCAATAGGTTGTGATCTTCAATCATGTGTCCTTGAGAGAGATAGAAACAAATACTTATATAACATATTACATCTTCTATCTTTAGGAAATTCCACCCAGTGGAATTGTTATCAAAAAAAAAAAGTTTTTGAGATTGCCAACTATTTAAATTATGTCTCAGACTACCCAAACTGGCAAATAATTGGTAGCTAAACAAAAAATAATCAAAGCCACATCAACAGGGTCAGCACATTGCTTTCAAGTTCACATAAAGTCTAGGGAGAAATGGTGAAGAGCACAGGCTTGGGGGTGATGGGACTGTGTTTGAATCCTCTGTGGACACTGACCTACCAGCTATATTATTTTCCTATTGCTGCTGTAACAAATTGCGACAAATTCAGTGGCTTAAAACAACATAAATTTATTATCCTACAATTCTGGAACTCAGCTGTCCTAAAAATCAAGGTGTCAGGAGGGCTGCATTCCTTCTGGAGGCTCTAAAGGAGAATTCATTTCCTTGCCTTTTCCATGGTACCTAGAATTCCTTGGTTTGTGGCCCCATATTCTATCTCCAAAGCCAACAGCATAGCATCTTCAAGTCACTCTCTTTCCTTATCTCCTCTCTCTCTCTCTCTCACGCTCTCTGTCCCTCTCACAGAATTGTACACACACAATTTCACTTCCACTATGACAGATGATTATTTTAATTTAAACACAAATTCTGGGACACAAACCTTCATGTGCCTAAGAGAATCTTTAAAATCAGATTAAGAAAATCCGTAGAGCAGACACCCCCTTCCATGCTAAGCTATGCTATCTTCGAACCCCGTATGAAACAGTGAGACCCTTTATTTTTATCTTAACTAAAGTGCACGCCACACGCACACACACACACGCACACTCACACACTAAAATGAGATTTGTCTTTCTTCACAAAGTGAAAGGCTGAACACATCCTTCTATGCTTTTGAAATTGTGTTCCCCAGGGACTCTCTCAGCTTCAAGCTTGCCATTCAACCTCCAAGGCACCCCCTTCATCAACTGTAACAAATAGGGCCTTTTGTCTGTGCCAAGCAGTTGTTTCACATTTGCTGGGAAAAGAACAAAGGAACAGAGAGCTCAGAACAAACTCAGGAAGTGCTGAGGACAGTTTGGAGGGGAAAAAACGTTACTGAGGCAAGTTTGAATTCACAATTCAGTCTTTGAGCAATTCATTTATTCTGAATGGTAAGAAAGATATAGAATTAAGTTAATACTCATCAGTTATTATTCTGTAACAAATGTACTTCCTATATGCAAGCAGACGAGTCCTATGTAATTTGTTTCTAAAAGAAGTGTAGGAGCAAGTGACTAATTCGTAATTGTTTGCGCAATTAGTAAAAAGACGTATATGGCATTCCAGAGACTGTTATCCACTTCCTTCCTTCTGTTATAAGGAAATCACGGTGGGCCTATAGAACCCCTGCCAACGCAACCGTGGCCTGGAAATTTCCATTTAAACATTCAAAGGATATGAAATGTGTGGCATCCTAGCCTACCTTGGCTGCTTGCTGCGCTTACATTTTAGACGTCAAGCCAGGCAGCTGAGCTCGGAAAGCTACTCTTTTCCCCCCACATTCAAGTACTTGCCGGCCACAAAATACTCCTCGTAGCTCAGAGCATCTTGCATTGGAAAGTGGTTCCTGTCTCCTCAGGAAGACTGGGACAAGATAAGCTCAGATGAGAGGACACTTTCAGGCCTTTTTATGAAAAATTTACTTCATAGCATCTTCTGTAGAACCAATATCTTGTCTCATCCTCCATTTTATTCCCGGTGGTGTTTCCTCTTTCTGTCCGTGTATGGATCTGACTCTTGCCTGAAACAGAGAGGAGTGGGGAAAATAGGAGAGCAAGAAAAAGGAAAAGGAAAGAAAAGCATCACAAATTGGCCACCAAAGAATGGAAATAACATTTACTGAATACCTACAGTATGCCTGGCACTTTACACATTTGACTTACAGATTAGATAATTTAATCTTCGTATCATACCTAAAGGACAGAGTTGATTCTGCATTTTTCAGATGAGGACACTGAAACTCAGAGAGGTCAAGAAGCTTACTCCAAGTCACACAGCTAAGCGGTGGTAGAGCCAGGTCTTTCCACTTCACCATTATAACATCCAACTGTTGTAATTTGTAACTGAAATCAGAAAGCAAGATTACTGAGAGTAAAGATTCTATCCTAAGAATCCCGTAGGATGGTTAGCTCATGAGGAGCTCAACGTTCAGTACTAAAGAAATCCTGGTTGTGAAATTAATTAAGCCCTGGCTCTGCCTTGAATGCAAGTGGGAAATAGATGGAAGAGTGTTGAGATGTCAACAAAAATCCATTTCCTACCAAGAGACAAGCCGGGAGATCAAAGAGGAGAAGGAGAGGTGCGGAGGTTGTAGACGGTGCTGGGAAGGGTTTGCACAAGGAGTGTCCCTGTCACTTGAGTAGCTTTCCTAAGCTAGCCGGGTGAAGAGACCCTAGGTCAGGCCAGTTCAGAAGCCAGCCCCCCAGGTGCCAGGGCTGAAAGAGAGGTAGGGCTGGAGGGACTTTTTCTAATAGGAATTTTCCATTTCTCACAATGAGTTAGTCAAACACTTGCACTTATGAGAAACAAGAATGAAGGGTTACAGAGCTTGCCTTTTTAATTCTCATTTGCCTAGTTTGCATTTGAACAAATTATTATTTCTGCCTTCATTAGAGTATTTAACACAGTGTAATCAACCTGCTGGGAAGTAAAAGTGTAACCATTTTATGGTTTGTTACACTGAAATTTAAATTTGCATATTAAGCACCAAAGGCATTAACATGTGTACCCTATTCATTAACTATGGATTATAAAATACCTCTCTAGTGTGAGCCCAAACAGCAAGCCGTTTTCTGATTGAACTGCTTAATTAAATAAAAGATTATTAACAGCATTCCTTTATACCCTGGATACTTTAGTAGTTTGAAATTAAAGCACAGAGACATTCAGAAACTACCAAATCTTCCTCATCACTGTTTTGCAAGCATCTCTCTGAATATGATAGATTGCTCTGGAAAAACTGCACTCTGAAATAAACCTCTTTATAAAGCAAAGCCATAAAGTAAATAGTACCTGAACTCAGATTCAATTTTATCATTTTAATTCCGTTCAAACCTTCATCACTGGTGAGGCTGGTCTAAGTCCTGCAGATTTCTACCGTGACAAATAAAGGAGGACATGCAGCAAGCTTCCCAGTCTAAATACAAACTATTTTTATATATCAGTGGTGAGCTAACTTAATTTGGTTCTTCTAACCTACACTACAAACACAAAATCCTTCTGCACCCAACTGAAACCTATTTTTAAAAAACAATTTCAGAGCAGTGAGTGAGCTTCTCTTAACCTCTTCCAACTTTGATAGTATTGACCACAGGTTTAGATCTCCTTGACCTGAGTGAACCCGTCTCTCAAACCCAAACCAAAGCCAAGAAGTTGGAGACCTCATCGAAAACCTCATCCCTCAAGAAAAAGGTTGATGGGCCTGACCTCATCAGTGCGGATGCTGAGCAGAGAGGCCAGGCTCTCCGAAACCCAGAGACGGCATCCCTAGACTTAGGTAAGGCAATAGCTCGTGTCTGCTGCTGTTCACTTGTGCTTAATACAACAAGGAAGTTCTACAAATGACATTAAAACCATGGACAAACAGTAGAAAAGATTAATTCTATGTAGGAAACTGGACAGGACACACTTCTTTGTGCTTAGATTAAATAGCAGTTGGGGAGCTCAACTTTGCAGAACTCGTGTGGATTTATACATTTATTTGTACAACCCATTTGTATTGAGTTTCTGATAGATGGCAGGTACCACACTAGGCACTGGAGTTACAATAAAAATAAGACATGAATCTTGCTCTCTAGGAGAATTCAGTCTAGAGGGGAAGAGAGTCTAGAAAGAGAAAACTCTAACCCAAGGTCCGGGAACAGCCAGAAGGAACAGTAACATGTAACATGTGTGGGGATACGTCCAATACAATAATAACAGCTGCCATTCACTGATGACTTACAATGTCCAGACCTGTGCTTCGTGATTTACATATATTAGCCTGTTAATTCATCACAACTCTTTGAAATGAATGAGGAACCAAATTTTCAAATTTAAATAACTTGCCCAAGATCCCAGTTAGTATGAGGAAGAGCTGGAATTTGAGCCAAGCTCTAATTAACTTCAAAGCCTGTACTTCTCTCCACTGTACATCTTCCCGAGAAAGGAGACCTTAACCTCAGATCATGGAACCAGTCAATTAAGCTCCCCTTTCTTAAGAAAAAGAAAGGTAACAGTTATTTCAGAAAGCCAAGGGAAACATGGATGGGTAAGTATCCATAAAATGAGCATATTAGTAACTTATCCATAAAGTTACAAAGGTTAAAGGGGATATACATACATGTAAAATCGCTTAGCACTGTGATATATACATGTTAGATGGCCATGGATTAATTTATTCATTTGTTCAGTAAACATTTCTCTAAATATCTGTTGTTTTCCATACTATGTGCTGGAAATACAAAGATAAATAATATAAGCTTTCTGCCCCTTAGTAAGTATACAGTCTAGTGGAGAGATAGAAAAATGATTAATATAATTATAATAAAATATGTACTATGTGCTGCAATAAAGAAAAGCCCAGGTTAAGCCCCTCACCCAGCCAGGGGGTTATAGAAGGTGCCTTATAGGAGATACTATATGAGCAGTCTTGAAGGTTGAGTAAGAATTTGCCAGATGAAAAATATGGATCAGAGAGAGGTGGGAAGGAAGGGGCAGGGCATTCCTGATGCAGAAGAGAAAGGGAGTCACACACAAGTAGACAAACACAGAAAGATGCCTTTTCAAGCAAATACAAGCACTGCTACAGTATTCAAGAACGATAGAGTACTGAGAAATAAATCTGAGCGTCACCAGGGGTCAGATAATGGGAGTTCTTGGATGCCAGGTCGTTAAGTTTGTGTGGAGGGCAGGGTTGAAGGGTTTTTACTCAGAGGAGTGACATCAACAGATTCTATTTTAGAAAGAATTTTCTCTTTTGGATGTGTGGAGAAAGGAATGGAGGCAGGGAGACAATACAGGCATGTAAGAGAGTGACAGAGGGGATAGTGAGAGGCAGATGAGTTCAAAAATAAATAAATAAAAACAAGACTTGTGGACTGGGTAGATATATGCATGCCAGCAAGGAAGAGATATAGAATGTGCCAAACTCTGTGATAAGGGTACAAGAGGAAAAGGTGGGGGGGTGGGGGCGGGGGATGTCAAGGTGGAAATTGTCAAGTTCAGTTTTGAACCTGTTATATATGAGGAAACTGTGGAGCTTCTCTGTAGAGATGTCCAATGGACTGTTAAATGTGTAAATCTAGAACTCAGGAAAGAGAACCAAGCAGGAAATAGAGATTTGAAAGTCAGAAGCCTATGAATAGCCATCACAGTCACGGGTGTAGATGAGCTCACCAAGGACAGATCACAGAGAAAGGGAAGAGAACCAGCACGCTGCTCAAACTGGTTGCACACACAGGATCTGCGCTCCTCTGCCACGTCACTTTTTGAGGCCTGTCTCTCTGGAGGAAAATTTTATAATTATTTCCTCATCATCCATGTGCTCTAGGCTTATTCCATTTCAATAAGTGAAATTTATACATATGCATAAGGGTATATTGTTAAATACATTACAATATAATATAATAAACACATAAATGATACTTTCATTTCTCTGCTTTTGAGAAAACGCCTTGTGAAGAAGTCATAAAAATTCTTAGTTTAGGGGGCTTCCCTGGTGGCGCAGTGGTTGAGAGTCCGCCTGCCGATGCAGGGGACATGGGTTCGTGCCCCGGTCTGGGAGGATCCCACATACCGCGGAGCGGCTGGGCCCGTGAGCCATGGCCGCTGAGCCTGTGCATCCGGAGCCTGTGCTCCGCGAAGGGAGAGGCCACAACAGTGAGAGGCCCGCATACCGAAAAAAAAAAAAAAATTCTTAGTTTAAACGACTTTAGAGGACACTGACTGCAAACCTACCTTTTTATAAACGAAAAAACTGGCCTCTAAGGTTGTCTAAGTGGATTGTTCACAGTCACACACCTGTTCATGAGAGGGAACCAGCCAGGTTCTTTGTAAGAATTCAGCCACAGGGAGACAATGGTCCTAGCATACACTAACTTTCTCCATTGCTTCCTTCTTCTCTATCCCCATTATAAATTCCCTTCTTTGGTGAAAAATTAGGTAGTCTATAACAAAACTTGTAAAAAGTGTCCCAGTTTCTTCCCACCTCCTTTTAATAACAAGGCTCATCTCTTTAAACAGAATTTCTTTCCAGAAATGTGCCAGAAATGCCTCAAAGCCACCTCTTAGCTGGAGGCCCATAGGATAGTACTGCATATGCTCATTCTTTACCAGATCCCATGGGCTCATACACAAAATTTAGAATGCACCCAGCTCTTGAAATAAATTCAGGTAAAAAAATATACTTGATTGTTTAACTGTAAAAGCATTCCATTTCTCTTAATAGGTCTCATATTTATTTAGTTATACATGTTTTAATTAATTTTCTTGCAGCCTTTGGTCTTGGGGTAGAAGAGCATCAGTTAATTAAAGTTCACTTGTATAAGACTTCTCAGTCTTAATCTGTCTTCTTCTCTCTGCACCTCGTATTCTCCCCCGTCCCCCTCACCCCCTTCTTGTCTCCTTAGTAGACATTCAAACACAACTGGAAAAATGGGATGATGTTAAGTTTCATGGAGATCGAAACAGCAAGGGACATCCCATGGCAGAGAGAAAATCAAGCTCATCTAGAACTGGATCAAAAGAACTTTTATGGTAAGATATTTTAATATCAGAAAATAGCCATAAAAAAACGAAACTTTGCCATTTGCAGCAACATGGGTGGACTTGGAGGGCATTCTGCTAAGTAAGATAAATTAGACAGAGAAAGACAAATACTGTATGATATCACATGTGTGGAATCTAAAAAATATAACAAACTAGTGGATATAACAAAAAAAGAAGCAGACCTGCAGATACAGAGAATAAACTAGTAGTTATCAGTTGAGGGGGCAGTATAGGGATGGGGGAGTGGGAAGTATAAACTATTGGGTGTAAGATAGGCTACAAGGATGTATTGTACTACACGGGGAATAGCCAGTATTTTGTAATAACTGTAAATGGAGTGTAACCTTTAAAAATTGTATAAAGTTTTTTTAAATTTTAAAAATAAATTAAAATATTTTTTTAAAAACTAAAAAAAGAAAATAGCCATTTATGTGTCATATACTTGTCTACTGAAATAGCCAAAGAATTAAGTCAATCCAGATACTTGCTGCCATTTATAACGTCCTATTAATGTTAATAATTGTGGCTTCTAAAACTAAATTATTTCATCTTAATTGTCAAAAATTCAGCCAATAAGGATTTTGGTAGATTCATAATTTAATATTCAATATTTGTCCAATATTTGTTGATAATTTTCTGAACATGTAACTGAGCCAGTCAATCAAAATATGTGCATGTGTAATTTTACATATGTGTATATTCAATGTACAACATGAATAATAGTTAAATTAAATGTTTTTGGCTACACAGGTAACCTTTCTGACTTTCTTAATCACCATTGTCGGATAATGCACTAATTAAGTATATTCCATGGATGCCCATGAGAAAAACTAGCCACCTGAATTTTACCATGTTTTTTGTTTGTTTGTTTGTTCTTTTGTGGTACGCGGGCCTCTCACTGTTGTGGCCTCTCCCATTGCGGAGCACAGGCTCCGGACGCGCAGGCTCAGCGGCCATGGCTCACAGGCCCAGCCGCTCCGCGGCACGAGGGATCTTCCCGGACCAGGGCACGAACCCGTGTCCCCTGCATCGGCAGGTGGACTCTCAACCACTGCGCCACCAGGGAGGCCCTTACCATGTTTCTAAAGCTTCCTAAAGGACGGCATGTTTCAGCCTCCGGTTGCCCGTCACACATCTCCATTTATTATGACATTTCAAATTCTATATAAAGATCAAATCTCACTAAGACACTTTGTGAGAAGCTCCCCTCCCCACCCAAAAATTACTTTTTTAATGAAGCAGAACTCTGTAACAAAAATGGTTTTGCATTTATTTACTCTTTGCATGTAACTGACCTGCATTCTAAATCAGTCAGAGAGAATAACACCTAACACGTTGCAGCCACTTAAATTCCAAACGTGGTCATTATAATGGAAATATATGTTATCTTTTTCATCAAATGTCTGTTGAGAGCTTTGTTACCATGGTTCTCAACGATCCAAATTAACCAGATTTCTTGACTGGGTTTCTAGGTGAATTCGCTTCTCAATTTACATTAATTTCCTCCATGTGTCCCTTGTAGGTCCTCAGAGCACAGATCTCAGCCAGAACTGAGTGGTGGGAAAAGCGCCCTGAACTCTGAGTCGGCTGCAGAGCTGGAATTGGTGCCTCCAACGCAGGTAACAAAACCAATTCCTCACTGCACCTATCTTTACTAATAGATAATTTATGTCATAAGTATTTAAAATTTCACCAGAAAAATCTGAAGTAATTTTTCCGTATTTTCTATTTCATATGCTTTCTCACTCAGTATCTATCTCAATGCTTAAAATAACTGATGAAAGATAGATAGACAGATTTGGCTGGAAAATGTGTCAATGAACTCACCATGTACTTAGCACTTTTTCCTTGTTCTACCACTTACTGTTACATTATTTTCCAATACAAAATCTGTTCTACTCCAGTATTAGCACAATTTATGTAACAGGCACAAACAAGAGGAAATTACATCTTGAGCAGTCATTCACAACTTTGCCCTACAGACCAAGGTACTCACACATCAGCATCCTGACTGTCACATTAAAATAAATTTGTTGCTAAGGAATAAATAATTATAGTATTAGCAATCATGATAATACTAAGAACTACCATTTGTGAGTACCCTCTAAGTATTAGGGACCTTGTGCTTTTCATATATTATATCTAATACTCAAGTAATCCTGTGAATTTTTATTGGACTCACTTTAAAGGTCTTTGAAGAGTCTTGGTAAAGTCAAAATCCTTTTACAGGGGCACCCAACTAATCACCAGTGGAAGTAGGGCATGTACCAGACCTGTCTGTCTGCTACTTGACCCTCGACTCCAGTGTAACTGGTTTGCCTGTGACTAGTGACCTTGGCTGGGCCAAGAAGGGCCATCAGCCTCAGTGTTTTCATTTGCTCAAACACTTTGCAAGGGTACAGCCTTGATCTCTTAAGAAATGTGTCCACGTTCACGCATCTACAATCCAGTTGGAAATAAGTGGGATGAAATGAGCAAGAGAGATTTTCTTGAGTTTACTAGATAAGGTATTGAAACTAAGAGGGAAGATATATTGTCTGAAGTGAGTAAAGGGATAAGTATGATAATAGCAAATATTATTGAGTGCTATGAGAAGGCCTTCTAATACATATTAATTAGCTCACTTGATCCTGACCAATGACTCTATGAGTTAAGTGTATTTTATAGAGGGGGAAACTAAGGCACAGTGAGAGTAAGGAAAATTGTCGACGCACTCACAACCAGTAAGCGGCAGAGGGCAGGAGGACGCAGCTAGGAAATGGAAGGCATCTGGAAACCTAGGCCATTAACAGCACCTCCACGTGCACCTCACCCTCCACAAGAGACAGGCGGGCATTACTGCTCCCAGAACTCAGTCAGAAAACAAGTCAGCTAACTTCCAGAACAAATAACCCTGGGAAGCTTAATGAATTGTAAATGTAGCGTGAAAATGTATTTTCTTCATCTTTGTTCATTCTGAATGTATCTTTTTAAAAAGCAAATTGATAACATTTATTAGAGAAACGTTTCTTGATAACTGCATTAGAGATTTAGACTCAGCTAAATAATTGGTACTGTTTCATAAATTGGAATCCTTGGAACAATTGTTTTTATTTGTTTGTTTATTTATTTATTTATGGCTGTGTTGGGTCTTCGTTACTGCACTCAGGCTCTTCTCTAGTTGCAGCAAGGGGGGGCTGCTCTTTGTTGCGGTGCACGGGCTTCTCATTGCGATGGCTTCTCTTGTTGCAGAGCATGGGCTCTAGGCGCCCGGGCTTCAGTAGTTGTGGTTCGCGGGCTCTAGAGCGCAGGCTCAGTAGTTGTGGCACATGGGCTTAGTTGCTCCGCGGCACGTGGGATCTTCGCGGACCAGGGCTCGAACCCTGCATTGGCAGGCGGATTCTTAACCTCTCTGCTGCCAGGGAAGTCGCTGGAACAATTTAATATAGCAGGAGAACACTAGTCTCTGCAGCAGGGTAAGACATGGCACAGGTGGGTTCTTCCACATGGAGGTGGAGGGAAGGAGGATCAGCTGGGGTCCTCGGTTGCCGTGGAGACCCACAATGCATTTATCTTATTATTCCAATGACTGCTACTCTCCCGCTGGTTGTCTGATTTCATCCCACCACATTGTCCTTCCACTTACCCACTGGTGTGCCTTTAAGAAAACACAATGTGCTTTGGAAAATTTGTATGAGATACCCAACATTGTCCTCCAAAATATAATGTAAAATGCCCTGAGATAGTTCTGTCTAGATAAATCATAGTGAATTATTTTAGAAGGTTACCAATTATTTGTAAAGCATTCATCCCTTAAATTGTTTTCTTAAAAAACACTGCATGTTTACTTAACAAGATTTGCCTAAACTAAGGAAATTTATAATCTCCTAGTTTTAATTCCAGCCTATGGTTAAATAGGAAAATTTCATGAATTTGGGATTTAATCATCTAAAATATTAAGTCACTCAAATGGAACAGGAAGAGAATAGGCTCATCTACTTGTAATAAAAGACAGAAAGGTGTTTTTACTGTTAGAAGCATACTGCTCTTAAATATATGATCTCTTTATATAAATAAGATGATGAAATGGTATAAAAATTCGACTTAAACTGACTTGCAAACTATTCAAGGAAACAATTTCAGCTTACCAAAATTTGTTACTGCTCCAGTCACTCAGATGGTTCATAGGAAAATCAAGGAAATATCTTCTCCCTCAAGCCAACATAAATTATCTTAGTTCAACAGGTGAGGAGCTATTTACAAGCTTTGCTCAAAAATCATATTTCAGAATCACAAAGAGAATGAAAGCTCTCAATGAGAATTCTCCTGTTTGTTCATTTTCAAGATAGGGAAGAAGAAAAACATAGACTAGTCTCTTTCAAATAGTGTTTTGAATATAGTAATCAGAGTGGCAGGAGATTATAATAAATTATATAATCTTTGTATATTTAAAGAATAAAGTTTCTTGATATTATGCAAACTGTGTTATTTATATTCCCTGGAGTTAATTATTTAAAGAAATCGTGCAATCTGAAAAATTAAAAAATATTTGAAACATTGAAGAGAAACACAGAAGGTAATGATATAAAATTAGCTTTTCCATAAATGAGATAGTGGTGAGGCAAAAGAAAAGAAACTTCTGCCAGAGAGTGATGGTTCACGCATTTCTTTTTCAAGTCTGGACCCTGGAAGGAGCGCTCCAACACAGGCTCTTGCCGCCCTAAGCTGGACTTCATGAGAAGGTGGGGCAGCCAGGCTCTCCAAATACTGAGTCACACAATCTTGTAACGCTCTGATTTTGCTGATTTGGGCAGAGCAAATGCTTCCTTCCACATTGTCAAAATTCCATCAAGTTGGCAGTATCCCAAACCAGAACAATCTAAACTTTAAAAGCGCAGATATGTTTTCTAAATTTTTAAAGGAATAATGTAAAAGGAAATGCATGTTAATAGAAATGTAAGATATTTCTAATATATTATTTGAAATGTTTACAATAATCTTGGGAATTCATGTTATCTCCATTTCTCAGACGAGAAATGCATCTTAGAAAACAGAAGTAATTTTCCCAAGGTGACTCAGCTAGAATGGAGAGGACCCAGCATTCAAATCACACCCATCAGCTTCTAAAGCCCTTGTTCTTCATCACACATCACCTCCTATCAGCCACATCTAGCTTATCCGCCTAAGAGAACTCACAAGACCATCGATTTCCCTTCTCATTGCAAGCCCTGATTATTACTTAGTTTATAGGGTTAATATGAGTTAAGTGATTTTAAAGAATATCACTTTCCTCCAGAAACTTTGTAAGATGAATTAGGATTGTCACCCGATCTGAGGCCATACACAATTTCGTGCCTCCCCTCCCAAATTCATTCTCAACCTCTTACTCTTAGAAATGCTAATGGCTTCCATTTTGTTCCATTTCAATTCAACAAATGAGATTGAGTGTCTACTATCCGTAAAGCCATAAGTGAGGCAATGGAAAAGTTAGAAAGACGAGAGAGAATATAAGAAGTATGAAGACCTTTATGTCTAGTAGAAACAATTAGATAGTACACTGTAAATACAGTTTTGCTTTTTGGAGGACAGCACAGGAGCCACGTCAATATCCCTTTTCCCCTCCTGGCCACACACAGTGAGCTGCCAATGAGGAAGAAAGCAAGCGAAGATGGAAGAAAGGAACAAAGCAAAGAAGGCAGGAAAACAAGAACAGCAGGAAAGCAAACAGGACGGAAAGAAATCTGAAGATCATTTTCAGCATAGTAGAAAATCTACACATACTAGGTACTCACCAAATACTTTTTAAAGTGAAAAAATAAGGGATGCTAACAAAAAGGAGAAACAAAATGTTTGTCAAATTACAAAATTCAAAAGTAGAAGCTAATGGTTAAAGGACAGAAAAAAAGGACAAATTTTTATTCTTTTATCATTTTGAGGCTAGTTCCAAAAATAATTTTTAGTTATGTAGTATGCTAATAGACTGTCCATCCCCTTTAAAAATCAGCTCTGACTTGCCTTGGTGTTCCATAACATAGAATTTCATAGTTGGAGGAAGATGGGAACCATGTGCTGCCCACCTTTGCACAAAACTTTGGGAATTTGCTCTTGACACATAAGGTACAGCTTTTTGTATGCTTTCAATGATAAATGTCTGTTGACTGATTGAGAAAAAATATCCTGACCATCTTAATGAGGCAAGTGTTCAGAAGATCTCTTCTAGCATGAGTCCAACTTGTCTGTAAAAACCACTAAACAAAAGTGTTCTAAACACAGATTTTTTAAATGAATTTCCAAAGTCACACCTGATAAGCGCCAACCAGAAAAATGATAATAACAAAAGCCAATTTTTTTGTTGTTTATTTTTCTTTTTTTGGCCACGTCGCCGACGTGCAGGATCTTAGTTCCCCAACCAGGGATCAAACCCGTGCCCCCTGCCTTGGGAGGGTGTAGTCTTAACCACTGGACTCCCAGGGAAGTCCCAAAAGCCAATTTTATTGAGCACTTCCTATGTACTGAGCATTTTGTGTGTATTATTTACATGAATTATTGCACTGGAGTCTTACATGGACTCCATAAGTGAATATACACTTGGCAGATGAGAATACTGAGAATTGGGAATTCCCTGGAGGTCCAATGGTTA